TTGATTAATATTTATTCCGTGTTCATCACGTTCAATTCTAATTCCAAGAAAGCCTTTTAATGAACCGATATCTTTCATAGAAAATCGGTTTTCTAAGAGATGTTTTATTTCGTCTATTCGATTCCGATTGTTACCAGCGATGATGATGTCATCGACGTACAGTAAAAGATAGATTCTTGTCTGGCCATTTATTCATAAAATACACACTTGTCATGTTCCGATTGTTTCAGTCCAATTGTTTTTACATATTTAATAAATTCGAAATTCCAAGCACGTGGGGATTGTTTTAGTCCATACAACGTTTTGTTCAACTTGCAGACGCGTGATGTCCCGTCTTCACAGCCTTCAGGTTGCTTCATGTAAATTTCTTCAGACGGGGTGCCATGGAGAAAGGCGTTCTTGACGTCCAGTCTGTCTGCAAGTAGATTTTCTTGGACGATGATTGACAGTAGAATTCTTACTGTTGTTAATCTTGCCACCGGAGCGTACGTTTCATCATAATCAAAGCCTTTTGTTTGAGAACATCCTTTGACGACAAGGCGTGCTTTGTACCGTTCTATATTTCCAGATTCGTCACGTTTAATTTTAAAGACCCATTTATTGTTGATAGCTTTTCTTCCGCTCGGCAGTTTAATTAAGTTCCATGTTTGATTTGAACGGATCGCTTCTAGTTCTTCATTAACAGCCTTTTTCCATTCCTCTTTATCGTCACGAGAGTCGATTTCTGCGTAACTGTTTGGCACATCTTCAACGTAGCTTTCCGCATGCAGCGCCAGCACACAGTAATCCTCTAGATACTTTGGCGGTTTCTTTTCGCGTATGCCTCGTCGAGGCACAAATTCCTCTTCTTCCTTAGTGGTTTCCGGTTCATTCTTTTCCGTAGAGATAGGTTCATCCTCGGAGTAACTTGATTCCTGATGTTCCAACGCCGAGTCGTGTTGTTCAGTCTCATCCTTTTCTGCAAGATCTAAGTTTGATTCTTCATGGATGATTGTTTCGATGAAGGGCCGTTGAATATCTGGTAGAAATTTTATTTCATCGAATATTATGTCTCTTCCGTAAATTATGCGTCGTTCTTCAGGATTCCATAGACGATATCTGTTGTCTGTATATCCAATCATAACACATTTCGTTGATCGTGAGTCAAATTTCCTTGGATTTAGTTCCTTTGGAATATGATGTGCAAAGCATCCAAAAACTTTTAACTTCCTTACGTCAGGTTTTGTTCCGACCCATAATTCGGCTGGTACTTGATTCCAAAAGCTGTCGTAGGACTTCGATTTATGATGTAAATGGCACTCAAAACCGCTTCAGACCAGAAGGTTTTATTCAGTTTTGAATGCAATATCATGCAACGAGCTTTCTCTATTATTGTCTCATTCATCCTCTCTGCAACGCCGTTTTGTTGGGACGTATAACGAATCGTGTACTCAGTCTGGATTCCCTTCCTTTGAAAATCTTGAATCATTTCCTTAGACATATATTCTCGACCGTTGTCGCAACGAAACCTGCTTATTCGCTGCCCGAAGTGAGCTGTCGCCATCGCTTCGTAGATTTGGAAATGTTTAAAGACTTCGCTTTTATTTTTCAGCAAGTACGCTACCGTGAAATGTGTGAAATCGTCAATGAAAGTGAGTACGTATTGTTTTCCGTTATGTGATTACGGTGTGATTGGGCCGATAAGATCACTATGTACCAGTTGTAAAGGACGCTTCGCCCTAACTCTTTCTTGATTGTATGGTAGTTTAGTTTGCTTCCCCTCAATACAAGAGTTATAGATTTCAACATTATATTCTAACCTTTCCGGATTTATTCCACTTACCATGTCGACGACCCTTTTTAAGTTGTTAAGTCCAATATGACCGAAGCATTCGTGCCAAATCTTTGTTTCGTTCATTATTGTGCTTGCGACATTTACAATGTGATTTCGCTCGAAGATTTCTAATTCGTATATGCGGTGATTTCTATTTGCTACTGCTACAAGCTGATTGTTTTGTAATATTTTTCCTTTTCCGTTTTCAAAGATTATTTTGAACTCATTTCTCTCGAGTTTTGGTACTGACAGAAGATTAAATTCCAGCCCAGGAACGTAGAGAACTGCTCTGATTCTGACATTGACTTCCTTTCCATTTACGATAGTTTTACACGGTATTTCTCCAATCCTTTTTGCAATTAGTGACATACCTGCTTTAGCAATTCGAATTTTTATGGGTTGTTTTAATAACCTGGTATATTTACTAGAAGACTTTTATCATGGGTTAGATGTTTCGATGCTCCAGAGTCGAGAATCCATCTTGATCCGTTTCCGTCACGCTCCTTTCCGATTATGGCAGAAAATCCACCCTCAGTTGAATTTTCCAGCGCTACATTTGCCTGTTTATTTTCCTTCTCGTTTTTCCGATATCCTTCCTGTTGTTGTTTTGGCTTTTTACATTCAGACCGACGATGACCCAATAGTCCGCAGTTATGGCATCTGTAATTGAATTTCGGTTTAGTTCCCGTGTTACGTGCGTTGGACTTACGAGTGTCGTTTGCAGATGTAGTAAATGCTGTAGACGGGGATGTCTCGTTCTTTGTAGATATTCCACTTCCTCTTCGCTTAGTCTCCTCATCCAAAAGACGGTTTTTAACGAAGCTCAATGTTAGCATATCGTTTGATAATGTTTCCAACGCAGTTACCACTACATCATATTCCTGTGGCATTGTTAGAAGTAAGTGGCACACTACATCAGTTTCTTCCATAGTTGCACCTGTTGATTTAATTTCTCTAACGAGAGTTTCGAATTTTAGGAAGTGAGATAATAATGTTTCGACAGACGGTTTAAATTTCATTAGCAGCAATTTTTTTCGTAGAAGTAAGTGGCTTGCCATGCCCCGACGTTCGAATGCGGTTTTTAATTTCATCCAAACATCAAACGCCGTTCGTTTATCTTTAGCGTACTCTAACTGTGAATCTGCGATTCTCTGAATAATTTGTGACTTACATTTAATATCCTTTTCCTTAAGATTAGATAAACGAGATGTGCGACTTTCCTCTGTCTCCTCGCTCACCGCTGTTGATTCCGCGCAGTCCACAATTTGCGATTTTATATGTTCGCTCAAGCTGAGTTCTTCCAGTAACAGTTCCATACGAAACTTCCAATTACTGTAATTTGTTCCATCGAAGAGCGGCACGCGGTGCTTGTCTTCTTCCATCTTGAACGTGTCCCCTTTTTCCTTCCAACGAGCTGGCAACGATACTATGAATCGGCGACGTCGAGTCTTGCGGGTCCTGGGCCCATAACCTGTTGAGGTTTCGTTGTGGTTTTCGGGATAGCTTGGTTTCGGATGTGGTGGAAGAAGGAGTCACAATTAAGTTGTTACAAGCTCTGCTTCTTCAATATATCTGTAGCTTCCCGGGAAAAAATTTTCACATATAATCATATATAATCATATATGCTCATATACGAAAAATGTCCATATATAAGATACCATATGTATCATATATGATCGTATATGATAATGTGTTTGTCATATATGACGGTATATATGACAAATACATTATCATATACGATCATATATGATGCACATGTTTGTCATATATACTGTCATATATGACAAACACATTATCATATACGATCATATATGATACATATGGTATCTTATATATGGACATTTTTCGTATATGAGCATATATGATTATATATGATCATATGTGAAAATTTTTTCCCGGGTTACAATAAACGTGTGCTCTCACGACGCAGGCAAGGGCAAGAACAGCGCGGAAAACCAGGAAACATACATAGCGCGTAACGCACATTAAAAAGAAAGAAAGCCGTCTACCAGCGCCCTCTGACAGACAAAGTGTCCTCCCAATATGCTTATACATATATTATACCTTACTTTACCTTTTTCCATTCATCAGGTGTTAAGTTTGGACCAGCACCTATTGCATTTAATTTATTTGTTAATTCTTCCCATTTACGAGAAATATAATTTTCATCTAAAGTGGGATTTATTGTTCCACTTGTAAAGGCATAATCGTTTTCCAAAAATGATAGACAGAGTTCATATTGTTCTTTCGAAGTATTCAGTGTTCCCTTTCGCTTATTTCCTTTCTTTATTTCATTTTCACAAGAACTGTGAGCAATCAAAAACACAGCCCCACTGTAGTGTTTGTAAGCCTAAATGTAACTAGGCATAGTTACATTTACTGTCTCGTGCGCACGAATGCGACGGGGGGCGCGAGGAACACACGAGAGCAGCAAGCGAGAGTGTACGTGCCACCTGCGTGCTTCGGGGTGTTGGCGAGCCAGTAAATAATAAAAGGACGTATACATATAATACATGTGGCGACGAGGTAAAGAATAATAATAATAAGGAGAAAGGAAACGTGAGTAAACAATGTGACCGGCACTACGTAACCCGATCAAGTGATTAGAGGTTAGGATCGATAGGCTATCACGTATACTACATATTATTAGTTACCTTGAGATGTAAGCAGAATAAAAGTAAATGTAGCGGCTTGAGGACGTTAATTATAGAACTAACTGTCACGCTGTAAACACGGAAAATATGACGCGATAATAGGTAATTAAGGAACGAATAAATCCACTAAACTGGAAACGTGTGCTTGGTACAAAGGTACCCCCATTAAATTGGAATACATGGTATATAGTACCTCCATTAAATTGGAATATATGGAATCAAATGGTATATAGTACCCCCATTAAATTGGAATACATGGTACATAGTACCTCCATTAAATTGGAATATATGGTATAATATGATATAGTACCCCCATTAAATTGGAATATATGGTATACAGTACCCCCATTAAATTGGAAAATATGGTGTAGAGTACCCCCATTAAATTGGAAACATCTGGTATAGTTATCCATTAGATTGGAAACGCATTGAAAGAAATACATACATCCCAAATTGTAAACCACCATCAAATCAAAACGGTCACTGCCATGTGAAATGAATTCCTTTTCAGGTCGCCTAAATAGTTATATAAGATGTCAAACACACTGCCACCACTAGAAAAACTTGATCTGGAGGGGGATGGTGCCTCAGTTGGACAAAGATGGGAAAGATGAAAAAGATCCTTACATATTTACCTCGAGGCGTCGGGTATCAAATGCCCAATAAAGAAAAGAGCGACTTTATTGCTGCTAGGTGGATCAGATCTGCAGGAGATCTTCTATAATTTGCCAGATGCCAACGCAGAGACGAGTAGGGAAACTGATGCTTTCGCAGTAGCAGTACGGAAGCTCGATGACTATTTCATACCGAAACAAAGTAAAGTTTATGAAAGGCACGTCTTTCGACTTCTTAAACAGGAAGAAGGAGAAAAATTTGAAAAATTTTTAGTAAGGTTAAGAACCCAAGCAGTCAAATGCAAATTTGAGAAGCCAGAAGAACATTTAATAGACCAAATAACCGAGAAAGGTACTTCAACAGAATTGCGGAAAAAAATTTTGACAATAGGAGATGACATCACACTGGATAAAATAATTACAGAAGCTAACACACTAGAAGTCGTGAACCATCAATTGGAAGAGTACGAACAAAAAATTAAGAGTCAAGACGTAAATGTAAACGCAGTGAACAATAAAAACAACAAGGCTCCAAATCCAGACGGACAAAAGAACCGATTCTCGAGTAATAAAAGATGTGGGAGGTGCGGAAGTTATAAACACACTTCGGAAGATAACAACTGTCCCGCAAGAGGAAGGAAATGTCATGATTGTGGGAAATTAGGACACTTTCGCCAATATTGCAAGACTCAAGGGATACGGAAACGGAAAGCGGATGAAATAAAGAAACAAGATGGAGAGAAGAGAGAAAAACAAGCTCGGAAAGGAAGCGGAATAAATAGGGTCGAAAACGAAGAAGTTGATTACGTTTTTAATGTTAATTATAATGCGACAGTAGAATGCGAAGTAGGAGGTGTCAAGATAAATATGCTAATTGATTCTGGATGTAAATTAAACTTAATCACAGACAAAACATGGGAATTCCTAAAAGATCAGAAGGTTACGAGTTTCAACTTAAATAAGGAACCAGACAAGACATTACTGGCTTATGGCAGCGATACACCACTCAACATCCAAGGCTCATTCGAGACAGAAATCAAAGTGAACAATCGAGAAGAAACTGCAACCATATACGTAATTTCAAGGGGATCAAGAGATTTACTAGGCAAAGACACGGCTATTCGTCTGGGTGTTCTAAAACTGGGCCTCAACGTGTATCAAATTGGAAACAGGCCTTTCTCAAAGTTTAAAGGTGTGTTAGTAGAAATTCCCATCGACGAATCAGAAAAACCTGTTTCACAACCCTACCGGCGAATACCAATCCCGATCGAAGAGAAAATAAACAAAAAAATAAAGGAATTGCTGGACGCTGACATAATAGAGGAAGTAAACGAACCTTCGAAGTGGATTTCACCAATAGTTCCCATACTAAAGGACAACGGAGAATTACGTTTGTGTGTGGATATGAGACGGGCAAACGCTGCGATTAGGAGAGAAAATCACCCATTGCCATCCATGGACCATCTCTTACCGAAGATAAGGAAAGCTGCATTTTTCACAAAATTGGATATAAAAAATGCATTCCATCAAGTAGAGCTACATCCCAACTCTAGGCATATAACTACATTTATAACTTTGAAAGGATTGTACCGATACAAACGGTTAATGTTTGGTATCACTTGCGCACCCGAATTATTTCAGAAAATACTGGAAAAAATGCTGATCAAATGTGAAGGAGTTATAAACTTTATCGATGATATTCTGGTCTACGGATGTACAGAACAAGAACATAATTTGCGACTACAAAAAGTATTGCAAGTATTGGAAGAAAATAACGTTTTACTTAACCAGGCAAAATGCGTATACAAAACGAGGAAGATAAATTTCCTAGGGCATGAATTAACACCAGGGGGAGTCAAACCACTGGACAAATATGTCAGAAGCATCACCGAATTCAGAACGCCGAAAACAGTCGACGAACTGCAAAGCTTCCTGGGGTTAACCAATTATATAAATAAATGGATTCCCAATTTGGCTACACTAACAGAACCGTTAAAAGAACTATTGGGGAAGAAGATCAAGAAAAACGCTAGTATTGAAGAATATTGGACTAAGAAGCAGGAAGAAGCATTTAAAGGACTAAAGGGAACACTCATAAACATACAAACTCTTGGCTATTATGATGTTAAGGATAAGACACAGGTCATCGCTGATGCAAGCCCTGTAGGATTAGGAGCTGTCCTTGTGCAGATTGATACAAACGGACCTCGAATCATCGCTTATGGAAACCGAACTTTAACTGACTGCGAGCGTAAATACAGTCAGACAGAGAAAGAGGCTCTAGCTTTGGTCTGGGCTATCGAACATTTTAGAGTATTTCTTTTCGGGAAGGAATTTGACCTGGTCACCGATCATAAGCCCTTAGAAGTTTTGTTTGGACCGAAATCCCGACCATGTGCACGTATCGAAAGATGGGTTCTGAGATTTCAATCATATCGTTATAACATAAAATACAAACCCGGAAAAACCAATATTGCAGATCCACTCTCACGATTATGCAAATACTCAATCAATCCTCAAGCCGGAAACGACAAATACGTACACCAGATAGTAGAATATGCTAGACCACATGCAATCCCTATGAGCGACATCGGCAAGCATTCTGAAGAGGATCCAGAAATCTGCAGTGTAAAAAAAGGCATCTATAAAAATGACTGGGACGATGCAGTTAAGGGATACAAGATTTTTGAGAACGGACTTTGTTTTTACGGTAACATACTGTTGAGAGAAAGCAAAATAGTAATACCTCAAACACTAAGGAAAGACGTATTGGACGCAGCGCATGAAGGTCACCCAGGCATAGTGGCAATGAAAGGGCGGTTGAGATCTAAAGTTTGGTGGCCGAGAATAGATAAGGATGCGGAGAAAATTGTGAAAAGCTGTAAAGGTTGTACTCTGGTTGGAATGCCAAACCCACCAGTTCCCATGAAACGTCGAGAACACCCTGCGGCACCCTGGATCGATGTGGCAATGGATTTGTTAGGACCATTACCTAATAGCGACTACTTACTAGTGATAATTGATTATTATAGCCGATATAAAGAAATAAAGGTAACGAAAACAATCACTAGTACGCAAATAATCAAACTATTAAAAGAGCTATTTGGTCGACTGGGTTACCCTATTTCCATCACAGCGGATAACGGTCGACAATTTGTAAGTGAGGAGTTTAAAACTTTTTGTAAAGAGTGCAACATTACTCTCTTCAACACAATTCCCTACTGGCCGCAGCAAAATGGAGAGGTGGAGAGACAAAACCGGGATATATTGAAACGTCTTAAGATCAACGTAATAGAGAAGGACTTAAAGGAAAGCTTATGGGAATACCTGATGATGTATAATTCAACCCCGCATTCTGTAACAGGCAAGACACCGGCAGAACTTTTTTTCAGGAGACAGAATAGAGATAAAATCCCTACACTACAGGACATAAATGACAAAGAAAACGATTCAGAAGTGAGAGACAAAGACAGGGAACAAAAGGAGAGAGGGAAAGAATATGGCAATAAGAAAAGAAGAGCAAAAGATTTTGAGGCAAAGGAAGGAGACAAGGTGTATATAAAAGAGACAGAAAAAACAAACAAGCTCACCCCAAATTACAAACCAACACCACACGTGGTGGAATCATCGCAAGGTGGAGACGTCATTGTAAGGAACGAAGAGACAGGTCAAAGGCTAAGGAGAAATGTAATACATTTAAAGAAAGTAGAAGGCGAATGGGAGACGGTCCAGGAAGGAAATAGCGGAAACCAAGACCAGTTGCAAGAGGAAGGAAAAAGAGATTGATGGATGGACAATTCCTTGATTAATATGGTACTGTAATATTGATGTATAAAATAAAATAAAATAAAAAATTTTTTGTTAACAAGGAAGGGATGTAGTGTTTGTAAGCCTAAATGTAACTAGGCATAGTTACATTTACTGTCTCATGCGCACGAATGCGACGGGGAGCGCGAGGAACACACGAGAGCAGCAAGCGAGAGTGTACGTGCCACCTGCGTGCTTCGGGGTGTTGGCGAGCCAGTAAATAATAAAAGGACGCATATAATACACCCACAAAAAAAGTTGTCTGACCCTAAGACCAGACCAGTGTATTCTTATGTATTTTGACCCGCTGAATCTGAATCCGAGGTCAGAATTGAAGAATTACTAGCTTTAACGTCCCTAACCTCAAAAAACTCATAATTTTACGAAACGGGCACTTTTGCTAGACGTACCCACCCCTCGGTCTGCGGAACTAAAATAATATGAACATGTTTTTTTTAGTATTTTGACCCGCTGAATACGAATCCGTGGTCAGAAATGCTCCATCAGGTCTCAAATCCTCCCTAAACTAAAAAAATGCATTAAAATTCCCCCCCCCCCAACTGCTTCTTGAGCTATTCTCTTGATTCATGAAGTTCTACTATAAGCAAATCAAGAAACTGATTGGGTTCCCAAAAAAATATGTAATATTTGTAATAAAATGTTGCAGAAATGTGAAATTAACAGGTCATATCTGACAATGACAGTACCTGCCATGTGGAAGAAGCCACAAAATCTGGAAGATTGTTACTTTTGTATGACGAATCTGAATAGAAAAAATGCCTCAAGAAAGTCAAGCTTCCTTTATGGTAATGTTCCAAGCCTAACAAGATATATGGTTTCGTCAGCCAGCGATAGCGCAGATCATGATCAGATAACGGTTACGAGTTCCACTTCCACTTTTGAAAAGATAGATATCGATCAAGATTCAAATGATGAATCTGAAAATGATGCTGCAACCGACAGTGACAGTGAAGAAAACGATCATGATTACTATAAAACATATTCTTCCATGGAGAAAAACACTATAAATGTTAAACAAGAAGACTTAAATTACCTCAAGATAGTGCTGAATATCTTGTTTCCTGGATGAAAGAAAACAAGTTAGTACCAAAGAAAGTGAAATCTTCCTATTATCGTGATAGGGAGAAAGAATTTCGCAAATATTTTAATGAGGATAAAGATATGTCTTTAGTATATTGCCATGACATCGAGGGATTAATGAATAAACTAAAACCCAATTGCTACAAAAGCGATGAGTGGAGGTTGTTTATTGACTCTTTCAAAAGAAGCCTCAAAGCAGTATTACTACACAATACAAATGTGTATGCTCCAGTTCCTATAATGCATTCAGTTGTAACAAAAGAAGAATATGAGAAACTGAAAATAATTCTAGAGAAATTTAAGTACTCAGAGCACAACTGGCAAATTTGTGGGGATTTAAAAATTTTAACTATATTATTGGGGCAACAATCAGGCTTCACGAAAAAACCGTGCTTCTTGTGTGAATGGGACAGCAAAGATCGCAAGAACCATTACAACAGAAAAGTATGGCCAGCCAGAACATCCCTAAAACTTGGGCATATGAACGTCGTAAACGACCCCTTAGTTAATCCTTCAAAAGCTCTACTTCCACCTCTTCACATTAAACTCGCATAGTTCCGAACATATTTAAACCTTTTCTACAGAGTTCTATGCAGAAGAACCGATAAATGATTTAGAAAAAATGAATACTGCCCGAGAACGGTCTTTAAGGCAGATAAGTATAATTTGCGGTCCGAAATGACGCAGTTCTGGCTTTATACAAATAGTTCTTGCATAGTTCCGAACATATTTAAGCCCTTTCTACAGAGTTCTATGCAGTAGAACGGATAAATAATTTTATAGAATTAATACTGCCCGAGAACTG